TGAGAGGTGGAACTTGAACGCGGCAGGCCTGCCTGCACGGGTCATTGACACCATTCAGATGGCCAGAGCCGCATCCACTCGCTCTCTTTACAGTGGTAAATGGCGGGTCTTTGAGGAGTGGTGCCAGCTGAGGCACACCATTCCGTTTCAGTGTTCAGTGGTGGATCTGCTGGGTTTCTTGCAAGAATTAGTGGATAAGGGTAGAGCCTTTTCTACTATTAAAGTTTATTTAGCTGCTATCTCAGCCTGTCATGTAGGCTTTGGGGAGAAGCCTGTGGGGCAGCATCCTTTAGTATGTCGTTTCATGAAAGTTGCACGTCGTAAACTCCCCGTTTCCAGGCCACTGGTTCCTCTGTGGGATCTGTTGGTGGTGTTGGAGGCCCTTCTCAACCCTAACCCTTTCACTTCTCTCAACCCTAACCCTTTCACTTAAAACAGTGTTGCTCTTAGCTTTAACCACGGCAAAGTGTGTGAGTGACTTACATGCTTTATCCACTCGCCCTTCCTGCTTGCAGTTTGCTCCAGGGCAGACTAAGGTCTGTATGCGGCCCAACCCGGCTTTTGTGCCTAAGGTGGTGGAGCCGACCTACAGATGTCCCACGGTGGAGCTTTCAGCTTTTCACCCACCTCCATTCTCCTCAGAGGAGGAACAAAGGCTTAACACGTTATGCCCGGTATGAGCACTACATGTGTACGTGAGTAGATCGGCAGGTTTCAGGAAAGGGGATCAGCTGTTTGTGTCCTGGGCCTCTCCCCACAACGGCAAGCCACTGTCACGCCAGAGGCTGTCTCACTGGATTGTAGAGGCGATATCTCTAGCCTATAGTTGTAGGGGTTTGCAGCCCCCACAAGGTTTGAGGGCTCATTCCACTAGGGGTATGGCCACTTCATGGGCCCTGTTCAAGGGTGTTTCAGTGAAAGATATTTGCGCTGCAGCGAGCTGGGCGACGCCGCACACTTTTGTAAGGTTTTACAGGCTCGATGTCTCGGGGCCTTCCTTGGCACAGGCTGTGCTGGAGGCAAACGCGCCAGAGTCCCTGTGATAGTCATTACCAGGCTGACAATAATTGGCTTCGGGTAGGGTCACGCAATCTGGGAGTGGGCTATATCCCCATAGTGAAACACCGAAACAAAGTTTGAAAAAGAACTTTGGGTTACTTAACGTAAACCCTGGTTCTTTGATAACAGAGTGAGGTGTTTCACCGTCACAACCCTCCTTGCATTTACACGGAAAAGAAATCGGTCTAGAATGATTTGCGAGGATGCAGCCGGCTGTAATAATAGGTAGGGGCGGGGCCCTCCCACAGCCGACCTGCCTGTCACTGACAGACGTGGTGTCATTGGAGCTTCCATAGTTGGTCACGCCGAGGCATTTCCCCATAGTGAAACACCTCACTCTGTTATCAAAGAACCAGGGTTTACATTAAGTAACCCAACGGTCTTCAACGTTTTTCAGGCCAAGGACCCCCAAACTAATAGAGAGATGGAGCAGGGACCCCCGACTATATATATTGTATAAAATTGTGTTTTATATTAAATGGGCCTAGTACCATGTATAAACATACCTCTTTATTGTGCATTCAATACAAAGCTATTCAAATAATACACAGGTTCATATATTCATGTCTTTATTTTAAACATGTGCAAGGTACAGTGAGTAGGGTGGCCGTGCCACTGCCATTTATAAACATACCTTGTCAGCTGATACCAATGCCAATATCAACATTGTCTGTCAATTGCATGATAATCATGCATATAAGCTATTCAGATGGATGTTTTCATTTTAAACATAGATGTGGAAACCAAAATGAGTGATGGCCTATTAGTGCCACTGCCATGCATAAACATACCTGTTATCTTGCATACAATACTGAACTATTAAATGAATGGACAGATTCATGTTTGGGAAAAAAAAAAAAAGATTTTTTTCTTTTTTTTTTAAATTGTCTAATCAACCAAACATTTCACGGACCCCCTGCAGTACCTCCGTGGGGCCGCGGCCCCTCTGTTGAAGACCTCTGCTCTATTTGATACACATGAATCTAAAACTTCACAGTGGTTGAATTATTATCATCATTACTGACTCGGATAGCTATGGACATCTCTGTAGCTCAACCAGTGTTGGACAAATTCGGCCTAAAAAGTTTGAAAACTACAGATTCAACTGATATTGAATTGAATTGAACTACAGATTCAACTGATATTGAATTTAATTGAACTACAGATTCAACTGATGTTGAATTTAATTGAACTACAGATTGAACTGATATTGAATTGAATTGAACTACAGATTGAACTGATATTGAATTGAATTGAACTACAGATTCAACTGATAATGAATTTAATTGAACTACAGATTCAACTGATGTTGAATTTAATTGAACTACAGTTTCAACTGATATTGAATTTAATTAAACTACAGATTCAACTGATATTGAATTGAAAACATGAATACAGAACTGATTAGAAGACATCAAAAGAAGATGCCTTCTTGAGTTCTACAAAGAAGTTGGATGATGACGGAGATCAACGCTCATTCTAATGATTCATGTTGGCAAAAAAAAGTTGCTTGGCGAACTCCAGAAATAACAAGTGAAGATATTGAGGGTGCTTCACAAATACTAGACTTTCGTGGAAGGTTTCATAGAAATATATGTCATATCTTCTTCAATGGTCTTGGATGATGATGATACAAGCACTGTTATTGATATGCTTTTATGAATTAATTAAATGAACCTTGAGATTTCCATTCCATGTGATCTGGAATTTTGCTCTTTGACCGTGAAATCATTTACACAGTGGCCGTGGGTGAGACTCATCACATCAGCCCACCACCAAAACCCACATTGGTGGACAGGCCAAAGTAAATGTATCATCAGGATAGTTTCTAGGAATAGAACTTTGTTCTTGGAAGGCAATGCTTCATGTCTGACTGTTGGTGAATCTTCATCCTGAGGTCCACAGTATTGAACCAAAGGATGTCACATAAGTGTTGCTATGGCGAGGCCTTTTAACATTTAATAGCTACATTGGCTGCACAGACTGGTGGCTCTGCCATTAATGTGGAAAAATAGGCTGCAAATCTAAGAGTTTAAATTTGGAGTTGAAGAGAAAACAATGAATGTTGGTCCTGACCACAAGCAACAAGAATAATAATGATGATAATAATCTTATTTATTTATAAAGCACTCATCACAACCTGTGTTGCACAATGCTTAGTAGTCAGTAGTTTCTGACTTTCAAACATTACAAAGGAAAACATGAACAAGGAGCAGTTACAGCTGTAGTTTAGATAAGTGTTTATGAGGCTGTGATAAGATGTCTGATCAAAGATGTCTTCTCTCCTGGAAAATACAAAACCATGTCAAATAGAGTCCAACGTCACAGCCAACAAAGGCAAATAAGAGTTGTATAACTATGTTATCAATAAAAACATTAATCATTTACTTGTGCTCCAGTGTTTTATCAGATATGCAGCAATATTCACTAATAATTAGGCTTGTTAATGGTTGTGTTCAATGTACTTCAGCTTTTTATTACAAAAGAGATATAAAGTAATCTAGATGTTAGCTCCAAACCTTACACAGCCACGTTGTGTCCAATGGAATGATATGCATAGATCACGCTTAACATGCCATGATGTGGTCTGCATAACATATATTTTCTGATGAAACCACACTGATGCCATGTACCAGCCCAGCCTCAAATGATTCTGTATTCATCTATGACACATATGTTCCAGTTGCAGTCTCTGCTAATGCTCATAATCTACTGCATCAGCTCTTAGAGACCATCAGTGAAGAAGTAAAGCATGCACAGCAGACAGCATGACTTACTCGATGTGAGGCCACAATGTCCTTGGACAAGTTAAAGACATTGTTGAGCTGTGTTCCCATGGTAACACCTGCTGACAAATGACTGAAACATAAAAACACAGCTGTGTTCAGGAGACCACAGTAACACACTACAAATATACTTATTTTCTGTTTTTGTTTTGCTGCTTTGAATATTCCGGGTAAAAGCTTTCATGTCATGACCTGAATTGAGTCATATCTTTCAGAGAAATAGGTTGTTTTCAAGCCGTTTCTGCCATATAATAAAGCTTATCACCATATGTCAGTTCAGGCCTGATGCTACTTATCTTATCCCCTTCTGTACGTACATAAGAAACTCATCATTATTGCCCACCTCCCCTTCATGGTGTGTGAGGAGGATTGGTATCCTACTCCTCATGTATATAAGAAGATTGAAACCTCAGACACATTAGTTCCTTCTGAGGTCCTAAGGTAAGCTTGCACTTGGAATTCAGCAGTTTAGTGTGACTCAGTTTTCAGGCAAATGTATACACAGTGCTTCCTGTAAGTTGGGGAAAAGTGCTGCAGTTGTTTTTAGGGCTGTAATAGTATCATCCAGAGATGGTTACACCTGCAACATGGGGTTCACAGGGAAAGAGCACGGAAAGTCTGCACGCTGAAGCTCAATCTAAGACATTTCTTTGCTGAAGTTGTTTATTAAGAGAATGGTACATGTGCAATTCATGACATTACTGCTATTCTGACTTTCTGAAACAATGTGAAATGAGTTACATTTATATATACAAACTTGGGGGTAACTAATACATAATTGACTGATATTGTTTGACTCAGACAAGAAACTATGATAGTTCACATTGGTGGAGATACTGTGCACCAGCCCAAAAACGTTTACAGGTCATATGCTTCAAAATACTAATTGTCAAATTGTACATTTTGTACAATTCCAAAGAATATGCAATCATATTGTATTCATTTTTTTTGTATTTGTGTTTTCCTTCTGTTTATTTATTCTAGAAAAAAAGAAGTTTAAGTTGTGAGCTTTGAAAATCAAGATGACTAAACTGACTATTCTAGCAGGGAAACAGTCATCATTCCTCAGTGCTTTACATCATCTTGATCACATGATAAATTAAATTTAATATATGCAATTTATTCTCAAATGTGTACCTCTCTTTAGGCTTGTGCCTGGTGATGTGCCAGCTGTGTAAGTTACACTTCTAAGTAAAACTTATGTCATGGTCGTACAACTATTTGAAGTTTGTATTGACAAACTTCAAAGTGTAGATGTATGTGTGTCTTAAAATAATAGAGGTTACCTGCAATACTGACAACTGATTTGCTTTCCCTGATCTTCATCAACTGCCTCCCAGATGGTGTGCTATTTTACCAACTGGTCCCAGTACAGACCTGGGACTGGCAAATACATGCCCCAAGATGTGGATCTTTTCCTGTGCACCCATCTGATTTATGCTTTCTCCATCATCAGCAACAAAAACGAGTTGGTTACCTATGAATGGAATGACGAGACCCTGTACAAGACCTTCAAGGCCTGAAGAGCAAGTAAGAACTTGTCTTTCAATGGTATTAAATAATCTCCCCAGCGGTTGCAGCTTGAGTTTTAATCTGTGTGTGAATGACCAAAATTGAAATGTGAAATTAAAAAATCCCAGTTTAGATATACTGTATATACAAACACTGAATATGATAAACAGGCTTTTTCAACTCAATTATTCTGCAATAAACAAATCATACCAAACCACGTGTATGTTATAAAGGAACCCCAGTCTGAAGACCTTACTGGCTGTTGGTGGATGGAACTTTGGCTCAACTCAGTGAGTGTTTCTACTTTGTTTATCAAATGTGTGCTCCTTTAAAAATATCCCAAACAAGAAATAGATTTAGACAGAAATAGAAGCATGAAATATGTCAAACTCAAAATCAAAAGCTCTAATGCATGTCAGTATAAGTCCTATTTAGTGTGAAACAAATTTCCTCAGGTTCTCCATCATGGTGTCCACACCTGCCAACAGTCAAACCTTCATCCAGTCCTCCATCAAATTCCTGAGAACTCATGGATTTGATGGTCTGGATCTGGACTGGGAGCACCCTGGATCTCATGGGAGTCCCCCAGTGGACAAGATGAGGTTCAGTCTGCTCTGCAAGGTGGGTCAGGAAGTCATGAGCCATGGGGATCATATTTATATATTACATTGATAACACTATATTTTAAAAAGTAATTCATTGTCTTTACTTGCAAGAACTTGTTGAAGCCTACGCAGCTGAGGCCAAGTCCACCAGCAATCCTCAGCTCATGGTAACTGCTGCAGTGTCTGCTGGAAAGGGAACCATCGATGCTGGATATGAGATTGCTGAGATTGCCAAGTACTGCAGATTTTTAAAAAAATGCTATTATATTAAATTAATCACTGTTTGTGATGATAGTAGTCTTAATCAGTATTTTATATGCATTCCAGGCATCTGGACTTCATCAATGTGATGACCTATGACTTCCATGGGGCTTGGGAGCAGTTCACTGGTCACAACAGCCCACTGTACCGCGGCTCACATGACACTGGTGACCTCATCTACTTCAACACTGTAAGGGTTCATTCACATGTTGCATATTTGCACCCTCAAATCCATTGTTGTCAATGTAGACGTGCAGGAGGCGTGACGCCGTAATGCTGCGCAAGCGTTCCCAATTGCCTATTCTTCAGGGTGCATCGGCTGCAACCCGAGACAAATAGTTCAACTTCTGAACACTGCAGTTAGCACCTCATGTCATGTGATGAGAAACAAGCAATCACTGTGAGGGATTTACAGTGCAGGAAATACATTTATCTTTGTTTTGACTTAACTTCTTCATCATCATCATCCCCTCTGCCAATTTTACATATAAACGTGTTTACTAATTTTGGGCAGTACCAATGGGCTACAACTACAACTGAGCTTTTTTAAGTCTGTGACTAATATAGGATCCAGCACTTGTTAGGCATGACACTTAAGGGGGACTAGAAGGATATCTCGGCCTCTGCTGCTTCATCTCTCACAAGCCCCCAACATTATGGAAGTGCAATAACAAATCCCGAGAATAACATTTTGATTCCTGACATGCACTGTCAGTTGCTACTGTATGCATGAACAAATCCACGTCATTCATATCCTTCCATTTTCATTTAGGACTATGCCATGAAGTACTGGAGAGACAACGGCACCCCAGTGGAGAAGCTGATGTTGGGATTTGCTGCTTATGGTCGTACCTTCCATCTGACATCATCCAGCACTGGCGTTGGAGCCCCAGCTAGCGGTGCTGCATCAGCCGGCCCATTCACACATCAAGCTGGATTCTGGTCCTACTATGAGGTAGAGTATGAACTATATGAAATTCATTATTTCATGAGTAGAATGGATGGACCATGAAACAATCCAATGGCATTGTTTATTCTGGTCTTTCAGGTCTGCACCTTTCTGAAGGGTACCACCATTCAGTGGATTGAGGACCAGAAGGTTCCCTATGCCAGCAAGAACAATGAGTGGGTGGGATTTGACACCAGGGAGAGCTATGAGATCAAGGTAGGTAGCACATCAATACACAGGGATTACATATTTAGGGTTGGTGTGCAGGGTGGTATTCAAGAGATGGATTCATTCTTCATTATCTTTTGGTTGACTCATCTTCTTGTTCAATCCTCAGGTCCAGTACATGAAGGATATGAAGTACGGCGGTGCCTTTGTGTGGGCCTTGGATCTGGATGACTTTAAAGGAGAGTTCTGTGGACAGGGAAGCCATCCTCTGCTGTCCCATCTGCGTAAACTCATCGATGTTGGTAAGAAAAGAATAATGAAGTTATCATGTGCAGCGTAAAGGTCTTTGGAAGGTTTTTGGGAAACACAGTGGTTCCATTTATACATGCCATATTCTAACAAAATTGACCTTTTGGTTTAATGTTGTCTTTTTGTGCCTTCCACTTGTCACAGAGATGCCTCCACTTCCATTAACCACAACCAAGAAACCTAGTGTTACTACTACAGCATCAGCCACTACCACAACCTCCAAACCTGCTGTTACCACTGCGGCACCAACCTCCACAGCAACCCCCAAACCCAGTGGTACCACCAATGCTCCATCCACCAAGACAACTGTCCCTATCCCAGGACGGGGCTTCTGCAAAGACAAGGCCGACGGCATGTACAACAACCCAGCTGACAACGCCAACTTCTACATGTGTGCGGGAGGCCAAACCTTTCTGAGCACATGTGCAAATGGTACCATCTTTGATGACAGCTGCAAGTGTTGTTCGTGGCCCTAAGTGTTCCCTTGTGTAAGACTGTCACTGACTTATATCTGAGTACTGACTCTACAAGTTGAAGGCCTCTGAGAAAGATCTGTTCTTGTGCTTTTTGACTCTAAAACGCTGCAACATTGTAATGTTTAGAACAGGGGTCTTCAGCGTTTTTCAGGCCAAGGACCCCCAAACTGATAGAGAGATGGAGCAGGGACCCCCGACTATATATATTGTATAAAATTGTATTTTATATTAAACTGGGCCTAGTACCATGTATAAACATACCTTGTTATTGTGCATTCAATACTAAGCTATTCAAATCACAAATACACAGGTTCATATATTCATATTTTTATTTTTTAAACATGTGCAAGGCACAGTGAGTAGGGTGGCCGTGCCACTGCCATTCATAAACATACCTTGTCAGCTGATACCAATGCCAATATCAACATTGTCTGCCAATTGCACGATAATCATGCATACAAGCTATTCAAAGTGACGTTTTTATTTCAAACATAAATGTGGAAACGAAAATGAGTGATGGCCTATTAGTGCCACTGCCATGAATAAAGATACCTGTTATCTTGCATACAATACTGAACTATTAAAATAATGGACAGATTCATGATTGGGGAAAAAAAAAAAATTTAAAAATTGTCTAATCAACCAAAAATTTCGCAGACCCCCTGCAGTACCTCCGCAGACCCCCCTGCTTTTACCAGTTGTTTATTCTGGTAAAAGCAGAATGCTCCCACAGCCAACTTTGTGGTAACAAGTACACCGCAGACAAATCTTATGAAGCTCCAATCAAGCCAACATCACAGATAATGTGCTGTGAGCAAACTGGAGTTATTAGATGATGGGTTTTGTTTTGTATCACATGATATTAATCATATTAAAGGTACACTGATCATGAACATGGGGTTTTTAAAACAGTAATTTGATCAATATTTTACTTTAACATAAATTGGAATTTAGGATTTTGTTGGGTTGGTCAAATTTGACAAAATCTAACAAAAGGATAATTTGGTACAAACCCAGAGACGCTCATAAACACACAAACAATAATCTTAAGGCAGCTGTATATGCCTTTACAACACTGCAGTACTAATTAGTGCAAACATAAGCTGTAAATGTCATCCAAGCACTTACAACGTATTACATCATGAACTATATTCAGACTTAAATTTGTAGGTCACTGTACACTTCCACATACCATAAGCTCATATAGACAGGTTCAAATGAAGCACTAATTATGAATGGATACTTTTAAACAATAAATCAACATCTCTGCAGAATTCCACCATCACATAGAAGAGATGGCATGGACTAGCTTGCCTCCAAAACTGCAAATATTCATTCACCATGAAATAGTCATAGTGCAGAATTGTGCCATTGAGCTTAAAGGCTGATGCATGACATATTTGTACAATAGCACAATATCAGTCACAGAGGGAAATTTTCATTACAGTTACATCGCTTATATTTCTGCCCGAGGACCTTTGCATTTATTCTCAGGCAAGTGATAGGGGTGTGTCAGCACAAACACCTCAGTATCTATCGGGCACCGCATGGTGTTTGTGCCAAATGAGATGGAGACAGTATATCTCTCAATGCCTGCCAGAATGTTACCTCGTAATTTGGCTTTACTCATGACTGTATCACACATGCCCTTTGGCACGTGGAACTAGAAGTAGGGAGCAATAAAAACATGCTCAGGTCAGCCCTGTTTTTGCTATGTGGAGTTGGTTACTTCAAAAGAGTATTTTACCACTTCACCAATTGCTTTCAGTGAATAATCCACTAAGGTTTAAGATTACTCTTTGAAGGAGAATGCAAAGGCGCTCAGTATATACAGTATGAGAGAAGAATGTGAAGAATGCTAGGATAGTTGGCTATGGAAAGAAGAACATTATGGACACACCCAAATAGAAATCCCATTTTCTTTCTGGGCATTGCAATTACTGAAAATCCTCCATATCAAGGCTTTGGTGTAGTTTGCTTGCAACATGTACTGTTCAATACAATTCAGTTCAATTTATTTTGTATAGCCCAAAATCACAAATAAAAAATTTGCCTCAGAGGGCTTTACAATCTTTACACATAAGACATCCTCTGACCCGGGACCCTCACATCGGTACAGGAAAAACTCCCCCAAAAAAACCTTTAACGGGGAGAAAAAAAGGAAAAAACCTTAAGGAAAGCAACAGAGGGTTCTATTGCAGAAGTGTGATAGATGTCATGTGTACAGAATGAACAACATAACAGAGTTACAACACATTCAATGCATATGACTTGGATGAGTTGGAAAAGAGAAAAGTTGGAAGCTGCATGCAGTTGCTACTGTAGGTGAATGGAAAGAAGGTGCTTACAATAACTAACTGCATACCCACCCAGAGGGTAAGACGCCTACCATCAGCTTTATGCAGCAGCACCTGGTGTTGCTGTAGCTGCATGGCAGTAGACTGTACACACCACCATAGCAAGAGCTAGTCAGTCTGAGAGAGATAGCTCTCTGGTTCAGAAGACTCATTTCAATCTAGTGGGAAAGAAGTCCCAGTGATACTGTTGTCATATGCCTGTTCATATGCTGTATCCTAGAATAATGATATGACGTGGTGATAACCATCCATCTATTTAGCATCAGTTGCCCTTATTGTCTGTTGAGCACTCACCTTAAAGAATGAGCTGGGTTCACAGGAGCCATGTGGACCAACTAAACAATCACACCTTTCTTAGTTTGTGTGATTGCGTTGTACTCAAGGTGGGAATTTTACTCCATCATTTTGCTTTGTTCACACAATATTTGTGTTATGACTAGCACAGCTTCTCGAAGTGAGAATTTATAGCTTTTATGTTTATATTATGTTCTATGTTAATTAGAAAAGTAACTGCTTCATTACTAGCTGCTGCTTTTTTGTGGAGTTTAACTAAAATGTTGTTTACATTCAGTGTTTCTCACCAAAACAGTGTTTGTATCGTGGACATTTCAAAGCCGATTATTTAAGTATATTTACATGTTTAATGGCCTGCACTCTTTTTCTTCTTCGTTGGTGCATTGCAGCAAATCTTGGTGTGATACTGCTACCTGTAGTGGAATAGTGTGACACTACTGGTAATGCTGTGTGTGGTGCAAGCAGCAACTTCCGCGTTTGAAAAATAAAGCCAATGTGGAAGTTCCCAAAACACCGCAGTTCCTCAGTTTTGTTATCTATAGCTAATTTTCCCTTTCATGACAACTGTACAAGCGGTGAATTTATGTACAAGTCACACGCTTAAAGGAAAAGTGTGCAGCATTCAGTGGGATCTATTTGCAGAAATGGAACACATTATTATTAACAATTCTGAAAATAAGTGTTGTTGTGTTTCCGTAAGCTTGGAATGAGTCATTTATATCTACAGACCGGCATGTTTCTACAGTAGCCTAGAAACACTGGCTGTAGATAGGGCCATTCAAGTGTTCACGTTTTTACATCAGCCACTGTAGTTCTTTTACACGCTGGGCACAAGGGAGAAGTTTTCACTGCTTGCAATCCGCAACCTCAGACAAAGCAGGGAGCTATGGGCACTGACAATTTTGGATGACAATTTCTCATAACTATGTTATTAAATATACTAGACTAAATTATTAATGGGGTACAGTTCAAGTCATTTTGTCAAATTTGTAGATTAATCAGTAATAAAATGTAGTTGCCCCAATAACATACAAAACAAAAACAACACAATGTCTCTTTTGTTTTATTATTTAATTTGTCAAAACATATTACATTTCAACATTGTGGTACATAATTTCTATTTGAATTCATTATTTTACAATCACGAGAGATGTTACTAGTTTGTCACCAGCTGCCATACTTAATATCGTTGTGGTTTGAAGATTACACCTCCTATATGTTTCACACCACTATCACACCACTACCACACCACTACACTATCACACCACTATCACAGCACTCTGTGTCTCAGAATGCCCCGGCCAGCTGCACACTTATCTCCAAGTGAATGTGTAAAAACAAGCTGCCAGCAGTGGAACATCTTGATGGTCAACGGTCATTGTGTCCAACAAAGGAACGAGATAAATGAATCAAAGGTGTTAATCTGGGAACAAGAGTTGCAACCTCTATTCATTTATTAAATATTGCATTTGTTTTTATTATTGTTATTATTGTGCATTCAGTCAAAACATATTAAGTGTCACATAGTGAGTATTCTTTAAATTTCACTTAACTTTCTCTTGTCCAGTTTCATTTCAAATGTGACAAATGTAACACTAGTTGCAGCCTATACTAGACTATAAATATATACACACAAATAATACACTTTACGCAGGCTGTGCATGTTATTCACTAGTCCACTAGTGTAAATGTAAGAAGACAATGTAGCCCAAATTCATCATATTACTGGTTGTCAGAGCAACGCTGAAAATCAAACCTAGGTATTTAATTTCAATAATATGAAACTGGAACCAGCTGATGTTTGCAGGCTGAATAAACTACGACTTGATTTTTAATGATCAAATATGAATTATCAGTTGACTGAATGTAATTAATTATAATTGATTTAAAAGTGACGTTTTAACTTCTAGAAACAATGAGACGTTTATCCAAACAAGATGACATGGCATTTTGGCTTCTATTTACAGACCTAAATTACAACCAGTTCATGTGTTGAATGCATGCTGTCAACAGAGTGCTGCACTCAGTAAATTATTATCTACATATCCTACGGTTCAGACTTCGCAGGATCTTATCAAAACATGTTCTAATAATCACAACATTTATTACCCCAATGTATCAAAGGCTGCTACACCTCCTTTCTCTGTGCACAATCGACTGTATAAAAGGCCAAACTCTGCTGCTGTTATTTGGGTCTCTCATCACCAAGGTGAGTTTACAAGGTAAAACAATGCCTCTAAGTTCTTATTTTGAACCGTGATCATCTTGAGAATGGTTGCTTTCTGCTGTTGTTTCTATCATCATTGGTTCACCCTGGTTCACTTTGTGTCTGCTAGTATTCCAGTGTCGTGAGAAGTGAATTGAAGATGACCAGGCTCACACTTCTAGCAGGTATTTATCTACATTTGGTGCTGTATTAGTCTTCACTAACAGAATGGACAAACCAAAGATTCATTCATGTTTTAATATTTTTACGTTTTCATGTGGCCGCTGTTGTATTCCTATACGCTTGGCACACGAGAGAAGGTTCTCTTTGGTTGTGTCACAGCTACATTCCACCAGATCCCACACACTCGACCTTTAATATATTTAGGTTGATGCTTTTCTTTGTCTAACCATTTCTTTTCTATATTCTTTAGGCTTATGTCTGGTGATATGCCAGCTGGGTAAGTCGTAATACTTTTTGATCAACTGGCAACATTTGATCTGGATTTTCACTTGAAATGACTGGACTCAATGCTTCTTTAATGTTCCTTTATTCCAACACAGGATCTGCCACCCAGATGGTATGTTACTTCACCAACTGGTCCCAGTACAGACCTGGTGAGGGGAAGTACATGCCACAAGATGTGGACCCCTTCCTGTGCACCACCCTGATCTACGCCTTTTCCATCATCAACAGTAACAACCAGCTGATTACCTACGAGTGGAATGATGACATCCTCTACAAGTCTTTCAATGGCCTCAAGACCAAGTAAGTGGCAATAGTTGAGATAGATCAGAGGTCAGGCTAAGCTAGCAGAGGTTCAGTGCCTTGCACAAGAGGCCCTCAGCAGGGTAATGCTTGCTAAAATTGTGACTTTGCTTAAACAATGACTCAAGGCCAGAGATGTTCCCTACTGTAAAATGTAAACACACTACTGAATTCTGAAATGACCTACCCTCTGTGCTGTTTCCAGAAATCCTCATCTGAAGACTCTGCTGGCTGTTGGTGGATGGAACTTTGGTTCAAGACAGTGAGTAACATTTCAAATCACACAATGTATCACATGCTTACACATAACCACTACATTCTTGAAACATCCTGAAAGTCCAATGAAGTCTTAACTGTCACAAAATGAAGGTAAGATATAGCCTAAGTATAGTTGTATAGTTTTTGTTTTCTTTGTTGTTGTTATCTTTAACATACAGCAGTTAGCCACTTGCAGTAATAGTTTCTACTTGCATAACCGTATGTTTAGAACAAATCAACAATAGACAGCTAACCAGATAGTGTGGTCTTCTAGCTTTGATGCTCATATATAAAACCTCAAATATTTTAACAACAAAACACATTTCCAATTAACACAATCTCAAATATTAATCATGCTTGCCTTTAAAACTGTGGTCAGGTGTTTTTCCCAAAAGCTAAGGGCTGCTAAAGGCCAAAGGCCTTCTATAGCAAAAAGGGATTTGGATCGTACCAAGTATGAAAACAGAGCATAATCTTCCCTGCAGGTTCTCCATCATGGTGTCCTCTCCAGCCAATCGTCAAACGTTCATCCAGTCCTCCATTAAATTCCTGAGGACTCATGGATTTGATGGTCTGGATCTGGACTGGGAGTACCCTGGTGCTCGTGGAAGTCCTCCAGAGGACAAACAGCGGTTCACTCTGCTCTGCAGGGTGGGTACTCCTGCTTGAGTTTCTAGCTGCAATTCACAGCTACTTTTCTGTGGTTTTCACCAAGACTGTACAATAAATCACCTCTGGCCAGATCATCCTTCAAATGACTACAACACCGCTACACGGTTGTTGCTGCTGTTGGCGATCTTTTGCACTACTGTTTAGTTTAGTTTTCCTACTTAGTTAATTTAATACCATTCTATTTTATTGTATATACTGTGTATTTTTCTGCATTTTTTATTACTTTATGTTCTTTAAATTAATAGGTTCTGCTCTGTTATTTTATTTTATGGTATATATTGTGCATTTTCCATACTTAATATTTTTATTTTACTCTGTAACTTTGTTTGCTGCTGCTACAGACAAATTTCCCCCTGGTTATGAATAAAGTATATATCTATCTATCTATCTAAGTTGACTTCTTTCTTACTTCCTCTTTGGTCTTTATTTGCAGGAGCTTGTTGTTGCCTACGCAGCTGAGGCCAAGTCCACCGGCAATCCTCAGCTCATGGTAACTGCTGCAGTGTCTGCTGGAAAGGGAACCATCGATGCTGGATATGAGATTGCTGAGATTGCAAAGTGAGTGTGCCTCTTAAGAGAGAGAAACTGGGAGTTCTACAACACTTTCTTTAAATAAATATTTCCTTTTTCCCCTATCTTCAGGGAACTGGAATTCATCAATGTGATGACCTACGACTTTCATGGAACTTGGGAGCGGTTCACTGGACACAACAGTCCACTGTTCCGTGGATCCGAGGACTTTGGTGATCTCGTCTACTTTAACACCGTAAGTTGACATTGGTAACTGGAGATGAATGAACTTACGGGTACCTACCCCTTGGTTTTACTTCAGCTCTTCCATCAACTTTTGTAGGACTATGCCATGAAGTACTGGAGAGACAAAGGCACCCCAGTGGAGAAGCTCAGAATGGGATTTGCTGCTTATGGTCGTACCTTCCGTCTGACATCATCCAGCACTGGAGTTGGAGCCCCAGCTAGCGGTCCTGCATCAGCCGGACCATTCACACGTGAAGCTGGATTCTGGTCCTACTATGAGGTAGAGTTTAGATAGCGCTTTATATGGTCTACAGTATATCAGTTACAGTGCCATTTAATGGCCTGCTTGAAAGACAAAGTACAAATTAAATGTAAAGATACACAAACCTCATGATGTCTATGGTCTAGATCTGTGGATTCATGAAAGGCACCACTCTTCGGTGGATTGAGGACCAGAAGGTTCCCTATGCCACCAAGAACAGTGAGTGGGTGGGATTTGACACCAAGGAGAGCTATGAGACCAAGGTAGGTGGCATATCAGCTGTAGAATTGAACATATTCATAGCAAATCCAAAGCATTTACACCAGTTTATTTTTATTTTTGCAACAATAGGTGCGTTACCTGCAGGATCAGAAGTTTGGTGGTGCCTTTGTGTGGGCCCTTGATTTGGATGATTTTGCAGGACGATTCTGCGGCGAGGGTAGCCATCCTCTGCTGGCTCATCTCCGCAAACTTCTTAATGTTGGTAAGTCCAAAGCATTTTCAGGCAGAAGTTTTCCTTTCAAGTTATTACAGTACGGTCAAGACGGATAGTAATGTCTGCCATCTTTAGTGGACTAGTGATTAATAATTATTATCCCTACTATTATTTCTACAGGATCAATTGTCTTTGGCTACCATATTAAACATCCCCAATGAATTTATTCTTATATTATTCAAGTTAAATTCTTATTTAAATCAGCATCAGGTATTTTTGTTACCAAGTTGGACACCAGGTATCTCTGTAATAAGGGCTTATGTAGCATAGATGACAAGATGACAGTCTACAGTCATTTAAATCATAGTCCAGTTATAGACAAATGTTAATTTATTTCTTTGCTTCAAACCCCTCCCTCTCTTTTTACCATTTAGAACTGCCCCCACTGCCCCCTACCACCACCCCCAAACCTGGTGCTAGCACCACCACCCCCAAACCTGGTGCTAGCACCACCTCCCGTCCAACCACCACCGCCACTACCACCACCCACGCCCCAGGATCTGGCTTCTGCAACGGCAAACCTGATGGCCTGTACCCCCACCCAGATGACCAGAACAAGTTCTACATGTGTGCTGGTGGCATCACCCACGTGAACCAATGCGGAAGTGGATCCATCTTTGATGACAGCTGCAAGTGCTGCGTCTGGCCCTAAGCCCTGAGTGGAGACAATGTGTATTAAAGCTGATGCAAAAGTCAAGTATTAAATTCACTGTTAAAGTTCTCTTGTATCCTCTGTGTATACGATCATTTACCTAAATTACTCTATCATTAGTTTTGTATAGATATAATGCTTTTTTTTGTCAAATATGTAATATGCAAACAAAAAGTACTTTGGTACACATTGTTTAGTACTGGCTCGTCATTTCAATCTATGTAGTCATTAAAATCTACTAATTTCTCCATACTTTTTTTTCTCAAACCTATATGTTATTATCACACAACTGACATAACTGGAGGGCTGAATCATGTTTTCAGCACTGGTGACAAAATGAGTATTCAAGTTTTTGTACCAATACCAAAACAATACTTTTCTTAAATGCTTATTTTTCTACACATAAATATATCTTACTGTGAACATAAGCTTTTCAAATGCATTGTTTAGTGTCATATTAACACAAACAGCTGTGCAGGAATACATACATTATGAAATTAACCAAGAACAAGTAAATATGACAAAAAATTAAGTCAAATTATTAAGTCAGCTTTGAATACCGAGGTTCAATAGAAAAAAAACAATGTATAATGTGCATATCTTGACAAGCCTTTTACCACTGAGAAAACGTTTTTGGATGTAATCCAGCTGGGCCGGCTGCACAAAAAGCCTTAAGTTTTCTTCTTAGGTATGAAACTCAAGGTCTTAGTTCTCCTGAGCTGAGAGGCTTACTTTTAACCTTCCTCTTGTGTTAGGGTTGGCACCGACCCGTTTTAGGTTTTAAATGCTTAAAAGAACCACAAAAAATTTGTTTATTGCATCAAGGCTTTTTGACTTTGTCAGGAACCTCTATTTCAACAAAATAAAACAAAAACATTTTTTTTCGCTAAATTATAAAAAGACATTGATGAGGAATACCTGGATGCTTATATTGGTGTTCTTCTTATTGCTGGAGTGTACAGATCCTGCAATGAGGCCACTGATAGTCTCTGGGACGCATCGACAGGCAGAAATATTTTCCGGGCAACAATGTCACTTCAGACCTTTCAAATGATATCAAGAGTCCTCAGATTTGACAACAGAGATACCAGAGCAATATCTGACAAGCTTGCCCCCATCAGGGATGTCTGGGACAGATGGGTGCAGCTGAAAAAAATACTTTTTAGCCTTTTTCTTGAAGTAAATATATATGGGTCGAAATTGACCCTAACACCATAGATGTTACTGTAGTTAATAATATTAAAATGAAAAAATAAATAAAACAAATTTATTTAAGAGATGTGTTCTAATACCCCTCAGTAATAGTCAGGTAACACAACAACCTTTTATTTATTTATATGATTCTCTTGAGGTTCATTTTAACATTCTTTTAATTGAAATCGAGGGGTATACTGACAAAGAAAAGGCCCAGAGGCCCACACCAAAAATATTAAAACCAATATGTTCATGGATAAGGAAGCCTAACAAGGTAACCAAGAGATGAGAAACAACTTGCATGATAGATAATTGTTTTTAGTGTATTTTACAGCTGATTTAAGACACGGGTCAAAACCGACCCGTTAACATAAGAGATGGTAACAGAAAGCTAACACAGGAGGAAGGTTAAGGGTGTTACATAGAATGACGAAAAATGGTTTCCTTGTTAAACAAAAAAATAAATTTGAAGGCATTTACTGCATTGAGAAAGATTTTACAGCTCTAAAACTCAATACTTGCCATGAAAACCATTTGTTGGCTTACACTGTGATACCAGTCATCATCTCACCTGTTATTGTCTCACAGTTGGCCTTTAGATAGTAAAAAATGGCAGAAGAGCAATCATTAATTGCAAGAAGAGCACACCTGCGAAAAGTTGAGTTATCCAACTCTAGATGAAATGACAAATCATCACCAAATCATTTAACCTGCCGGTTAAATCTATAGTGTAAAATCAATTGCCCATCTATGTAGCGGACATACAAATAGAATAGGAGTAGAACGGACATTGAACTGTTTACTATGGTCATTTGATTAGTGCAAAAGAAAATGGCAATTGTTGTTAGTTGTTATGGTGATGTCCACGGGGCATACAGTGTGGTCGCAACTTGGCGGGAAGAGAGTAAACGGATTCTCCTAAGAGTCAGATGACAATCTGTACGCTAATTAGCTAGCTTTCTAATTCTACCATGCTTTAACATTTCAAAGAAAATTAGCCGAACAAAGTTGTTACTTATCTGGCAATAGCGACAAGCTTTTCTGCTACTAATTGGTGCAATTTAAAGAAACTGTAAGACTTAAGGGTTTTTGAGCAAGCAATTTTATTTTAAAGAATCCTTAACGCAACAGGACCCTGTTTCTTTGATGCTCAGTCACCTTTTGAGCACTAAGTGGTTGTTTTCGTAGATATTTAGTCAGACTGTGATTGTTGAGAATCTAAACAACATTATTAGCCTAATACTGATACTGCACTCAAAAGGTGATTAATGACAGGAAGTATCTCAACTCTGGATTTCTGCTTCCCCCTGAAATGCTACCCTTCAAAAAGATCATTCAAACAGCCAAACTGATGCATCACTAGACGCAACCCTGTGGGGAAGAATTCACCTCAAACAAAGAGGACATAACTTGATATACAACATCACATGAGTATAACATGGCATCAGAAAATGGGGTTTACTCCAGTCATTTTAACTTTTTTGCACTTCTATTGTGTTCAGTCCAGAATACAGAGGTTGGGAAGGTAGTGGAGGGAGAAACTTTGCACACTAATTCACAGTGTGAAAGCAATCCTACAGACTTTGTTCAGTGAACTTGGCAGAGTTTACAGATAAGACACCATTGATAAGTGTGGGATTATATAATGAAAATTAATTGTTGTAACAGGGGACACTAAATCACTGGCCAAATGTGATTTGTGCCAGAACTTCAATATGCATTGCATGCATCTACAGAGGACTTTGTTTAAACTGGTTCCTGCAAGTTTGAGAGAGAGACAAACCAAAGGAAGGCTCAAAACGTGACTTTGCGTACATATGTATGTGTGTGCACGCAGTTTGGCAAAGTTCAAATTTAATTAACAGTTCTGCTTTTTTTTATAATTGCAGAGAACTTTAATTGTTAAATCTTCAACAAGGTCCTTATTTCTTTCTACAATACAAAATGTGGAGGAACATGAGGGGGATTTTCCAGAGCTCATCTCCACAAAACATTAATTTTAAGATGTATCTCGGGTGTCACTCAAACGCTTCCAGACAGAGAAGTTGAATAAAGCATAAGTTTTATTAAAAATTCAAACAAGAGTTCAATATTTAAAACAAAGGACACTGAAATCTACAAAGTAAAATGATGTAACTGCAACTCTTCCTGTGTATCCTTCTCTCTGCTTACACAGCAACCAAAGTTCGACACTTCATCATGTCCTTTGTCCTGCCTGCCTGTGTCGGTCACGCCCCGTTGCCAACAACATATCATCGTTACACTGGTGGATATTAGAAGATGCAGGGATGATTGGGCGTTGGGTTTCAAATGGGAGTTTCATGTTAAAAATGCTTTAGGAAGTGGGTCACTCTAAACTGCAGAAATAGTATCGGTGTCCTGGTCCAACCTTCACATTAAAGGGATACTTCACCCACAAAATAACCATTTGTTATTCTTGAAGAAAAAAACTATATCAAAGCATCTGTTTATAAACTCTTGCACAACTGGTGCAGTATAATCCAAGTCCCATGTATCCAGTCGTATGCTCACTACCTCCCAAACACATGCATCTTCACTTAAACATGACGGCTTGTGTGTCAAGTGTTTTAAATAGTAAGGTTTTAGTCAAGATGCATGTGTTTGGGAAGTAGTGAGCATACGACTGGATGAATGAGACTTGGATTAGGCTACACTGCATGAGTTGTGTACAAGAATCAGACTTGGATTTATACAGCGCCTTTCTCATCTTGAGATCACTCCAAGTGCAGGCTTTTAGTGCATGTTAGTGCACGTGAGCGTGCCCCACCGGAAGTGAGCACCCACCCTCGTGGTTCCCCCTCAGATTAACGCTGTTAGCTCTGTCATCACTGATGCTGTAGTTTGCACTGTTAACACTGTTAGCACCATTAGCTGCCAGCTGCTGGCTCGGTCGTCGCCATGTTGAGAGCTGTGCGGAGGCAACCGAAATGCTCCCAATCTTTAGCACCTGTAAGGGACTAGGAGACAGCTGTTAAGTTTCATACTCAAAACAAACTAAATAAAAGTAACACACTGATAATTTCCTTTTTTTCATGCCACCTTTACCTGCAATGTGTTAAAGTTTCAGGAGTAATGCATCAGCTATCATACCCATCATGATGTAAGTGTTAGGTCTACTTTGTGTCCGGTAGAGGTATTGAGCGCTTGAATACCATATCATGTGACTCATAGTAATACGAGATGTGAGAATAGAGTGATGTTACGCTGTGCACATTTTCTACTTCTCTGTCTCTGTCCCACAGTGTGAGGAGCCACAGGACGTGAAACTCCTGCTGGGAAGAGAACACAAACAGCTGAGATGAACGCAGGAATAGTGAGTATAATTGGTGAAAAATTCTAAATGTTTTTGCTGTATTTCTATAATTGTACTGTAATATTTTTTTAGCAAAATGGCAGGTCACTCAACTGTAATAACATGCGAGTTGTGCCTCTTGCAGTGGGTCTGCAGCTCTTCATTCAGATTGGTAAGCAAAACATTTTAAGAACAGGAGTGTTTTTTTTTTTTTATTTTACTTTAGTACTGTTTCTAAACTAAATGGTTTTTTTCCTTGGTCCAGCAACCACAGACAAACTGGTCTGTTATTTCACTAACTGGTTGCGATACAGAACTAGCGTGGGGAAATTCCTGCCGGAGAACATGGACCCCTTCCTTTGCACCCACCTGGTTTATGCCTTCGCCATCATCAACCATGCTAATGAGATCACCGAGTATGAGTGGAATGAAAAAAGCCTCTATAAATCCTTCACCGAGCTCAAGAACAGGTAATGATTAGTATTGAAATATG